CTGCTTAACTATCTATCCATGTCTATCTATCTATCTACTGTACCTATCTATCTACCTACCTACCTATCTATCTATCTATCTATTTGCCCATCTATCTCTCTCTCTCTCTCTCTCTCTACATACCTTGAAACATGCATGCATGCGTTCATGCGTCCATCCATCCATCCATTCATCCATCCATCCTTCCATCCGCCCTTTTGTGCACATCACAACGCCCGTATGCCTAGACCCTAAACCCTAAACCCTAAACCCTATAACCTTAAACCCTAAACCTTAAACCCTAAACCCTATAACCCTACACCCTAAACCCTAAACCCTATAACCCTAAACCCTATAACCCTAAACCCTATAACCCTAAACCCTAGATCCCAAGGCTGGTCTCCGCTGAAGGCCTCGATGACCAGCCCAGCCAGAAGAGCGGCAGCGACCTAGGCAGTTAAGTTGCTATATGTAGGGGCTTTAATAATAATCAGAATATAGGCTTTTTTTTGGGGGGGTTCCTTGTTATAGTTATAGAAAAATGATCCTTCAAGCCCCACTTTAGGGTTGGGGCCTATACGCTTTCAGGCTTCGCGCTTGTGCTGTTGTAGGCCTTGGGAGAATCGAAAAATGAAACATCAAACCCGTGCGTGGGAACCCAGTGAAGGTGTCGAAAGCAGAGAGGGCTCCGACGTTTGCATGCACATTCGCTTGCAGTTATCGGTACAAAATCGGGTCGGTTACCGCTAACCATGACAGGAAGGATGTTACTGGTAAAAAGCATTAAATAACCAGACATCCTAACTCACTTGATCCCTTTATGCAGGGCTGGATAGGCTTTGCTCTTCCGCGGATGTGTATCACTGGGCATGGCAGGCGTGCACATCGCACAACACGTCTGATGTTTATGTCTCATCGGCTGGGATTGTCCCAGGTAGAGCTGTGCTATAGCCATCTGTCCCAAAGTCCAAGGATCTCCCTGCACTTCCGCACAAAAAAGTACAGGAATACACACATTGCGCTGCGAAGACCTCGAAGACCTTCCAAACCATGAACCCCCAGCTACCCCAAATTGGCTTTGTGGAACCCCTAAGCCAACCCTACCTGGACCCTTCAGAACCTCCCTTTTTAGGGTTCCTTATTATGATTTCCTTATATGGGTCCTTCAAAAGGTAGGTTCTTTGGGGTCTAGGTAAACCCTAAACCCTAAATCCCTAGGTCCAAGTTGCATGCCACATGGAATGGGCGCAGGCTTTCGCACCCCCCATGCCGACCTTCCACGGAGCCAGCCGGAGTGCAACCCTAGACAATCCCAGAGAACCCAATACCCCTTTATTAAAGAATAGACCTTAAACCATAGTATTAAGGTCCCTATAATTTAAGGCATATTCCTTAATTAAGGGGTATTGGGTTCACTGGGATGAGCCCTACGGTTGATGGTATAAAATCCTGCACTACCCATAAGAAGGAATATACCATAATTCCAATAGTTCAGGGTCCTTAAGGTAATGCAGGGTTTATATCACCAACGGTATCTTTCTGTCTAGATATGTAGTCAGGCAGTATACGAAAAATAGAAACATATAGATGGGTGCACATACTACACTAAGCCTCCATTTTGACTACTGCAAAGACTAAAGTACCGTCGCCAACCTTTGTCTACAAACCCTGAACCCTAAACCCCAAACCCCTAAACCCTAACCCCTAAACCCTAAACCCTACAAGCCAAAGCATGAGGCCCCACATCACGAAAAGCAAGAACCCTTGAACCAAAGTCATCGAAGCCTTTAGAGCTAAACCCATTTACGCGACCGTTACATGAGCCCTGGCTTGAATACACCCAGACCTAAGACCATCCGAAAATCCTCAGCCCCAAACCTCAGTTCAATGTACCTGAATTCTGGGGCTTGAAGTGTCTGAAGGTCGACATATATGGGGAGTTCTCTAAATTAGGGTCCCTTTTTGCGTCCCCAATCTAGTACGGCACCCTTATAAACAGGACCCTAAAAGGGACCCTCATTTAGAGAACTACCCATATGATACATGGGCTAGAAGGGAATGTCGTAACTTCGTCCCAAATCGCTTGAAGGGCCGTGCCTTGGTGTCATCGTTGGCAACCATCTGCATTCCCAGAAACAAGAAGATGCTTGCGATCACCTTGGGGTTTAGGTTTATAGGGTTTAGGGTTCAGGGTTCAGGGTTTAGGGCTTAAGGTTTATAGGGTTTAGGGTTTAGGGTTCAGGCTTTAGGGTTAAGGGTTTAGGATTTCCAAGCCCTCTGAAGGCGACAAAGAAGCACGGTGCTCGAAAAGGACTCGAGAGCTTGTCTTAGGGGCCGAGTACCTTAGACCAAAAAAGGCTAACCTTTTGAGCTATAATAGGTTTATATAAGCCTCAAAAGGTTAAAGGTTACCTACTCAGCCCCTAAGTTGTGAAGGGTAAGCAACAAAGAAGCACGCTGCTCGACAGGGACTAGAAGAACTATAAAGGATGAGAGAGGCAAAACACCGCCCGAACGGGACTACAGAACTTGCCGAGAAAGAAGCACACCGCTCGAAAAGTAGAAGAACATTAGCCAAAAATGAGCGACAAAGAAGTCCACAGCTCGACAAGGGCTACTTAGATCTGTGACGGATGAGCGACAGAGAAGTACAGAGCTCGTGGAGCGACAAAAACACGCGGCTCAGAAGGGATCAGAAACTTTGCGCAGGAAGCGAAATAGAAGCAAACACCGCTTTCAACCGATCTCTAAGTCCCCTGATCCCCTAAGCCCTAAAGCCTAAACCCTAAACTCCAAACCTTAAACCCTAAACCCTAGCGGATCCCCTGCATATATACTTCGCTTGCGACCCAGCCGCCGCGGCAGCGCAGAGAGCGAGCCGCAGCCTCAATGAGCCGTCCGATTCTAGGACTAAGAGTTAGGCTTTAGTTTAGGGCTTAGGGTTTAGGGTTTAGAGTTTAGGGGTTTAGGGTTTCAGATTCTAGGATTAAGGGTTAGGCTTTAGTTTAGGGCTTAGGGTTTAGGGGTTAGGGGTTTAGGGGTTTAGGGTTTCAGGTTTTAGGATTGAGAGTTAGGCTTTAGTTTAGGGCTTAGGGTTTAGGGGTTTTAGGGTTTAGGGTTAAGCCAAGCTTTAGAGTGCGTAGGCTCAAGATGGGGGGGCCTTAACACTTGTAAGGACTTCAATTTTTATGAGTCTCAAGTATCAGACTTGAGTTTTGGGGAAATATGCTGCAAGCAAAAGTAATTGAAAAGGGACAGTGACAAAAGGACATATCACTAATCTGCCCGAGCTCCATCAAAATGGGTTGAATTCCGACGTAGGGACTCTGGGTCAGCGTCAGGCTGAAAAAGGGCTCTCCCCAGTACCTATAGTCTGCATTGTAGTTCCCTTTTTGGGGTTTAACCAAACCTATATTTCAGGATCCTAAAAGGTAACCCCAAAAAGGAACCTACAATGGAGATTATAGGTAGGCTCTGGGTTGCCGTCGCACGAGAACTCTCTCTCAGCCATCACGATTGAACGCCCCTGAAGCACTCAAAACATTCAAACGCTCGAAGGCCGGCTGCCACAAGGTTTCTTGGTCGGTTGAAAGTTTGGTTTGTTTATGGATTGGTCTTGACTGATCAAGGGTAGAGGACTATGGGGAGCGGAGAATATGCCTCAAAGCCAGGCCAAGTCTCCAGGACTGCGGGAGTGCGAAGGCTTTGGCAGCTGCAGACGGGCGGAGAAGCCAGAAGACGCCTCTTTCCAGCTGTAGCGGTGCTAGAAGAGCGATCCGCGCTGACTGTTAGTCCTAGTCGTGGAATAGCCATGCGGACTGAGATTACGACCCTGGTGCCTGCTGTCCTTCAACCCGCAAGACTTGACGCTCTTGTCATCACTGTTGCGTTCACCAGGTCACTAGGATTTCCTTTCTGCAGAAGGTGCCTTCGGAGTTGTTATTGGCCCTGCCAATAGCAGACAACAAATCGCGGTTCTACCCCTCCCCACACGACACTACAAGTGGTAGCAGCACTTACGAAAAAGGAGCACAACAGGACCCAGAATACACCAGGGTATTCGTCGTAATCGTCGTTTCGTCGTAAGAAAGAAACCCTACTGCTGTCAGTGCAGTTGTCGGGATGAATGCAAAGTCTCCTGATAATGACCTCTACGAAAAATCATTTATGGGAATCACGAGAACAAAACACCATGGCGACGCAGCCAGGGCACCTTTTGCAGAGAAGAGAAGCACGCCTGAGAGCAGTTTTTCAAGGTACCTTCGCGCCTTCCCTTCGTTTTTTCCTATCTCGCGGCTTAGGGTTTCGGCTTAGGGTCTTCAGGGATGGGGATGTATGAACTCTAGCCTTAGGGTTCCTGGGTCCTTGGTTCGGGGCTCTCTACACTTGCGGCTGTTGTAGCTTCTTCCTTGAGCTTTAGCGCAGAGGGCTTCAGACTCTTGGCTTTGGAACATCCATAGCCCAGGCTCCTTTCGGCATTCGCCAATCTCCCCTCTGGGCTGTCGTTGAAAGCTCTTCGCCGCGATTGTGGGATTTCTTTGCTTCAGGATAGATAGGCATCCAGAACAAGGCAAGCAAAGATGGATAGCTGTACTGATGCAAGCCACGGCACAGACAAGAACACCCAGCGCGATGTGGAATGCTGGACTGCCTGGCGCATTCAACCCACGATGAGAAAGACCGCCAAAAAAGACCCGTTCACACGAATGCTCCTTGTATAGACTTCGAAACCCCCCTGCGAAATGGTACTTGGTCACCCATCACCCTCCCGATGCTCTATGTAGACTCACAAAAATACAGGAGCGAAAGTGCACAGCATGAAGAATGATTTCCGCTTCAATACCGGTGCTCTTCGCCAGATGCAAACGGGAGCCCTCAAGGCCAAAACTCGAGTAAGGCTGCTGTTTGGGCGAGCTAGAAGAACCGGGTCTACTGTATCTTGAAAGTTTAGGGTTTAGGGTCTAGGTTCAGGGTTTAGGGTTTAGGGAACTCTGAACCCAGAGCTGCGTGCGCAGCGTGGCCTATCGAATGATCTCCCCTTGCAGTGGAGATGAGCAGGAACGCCACAAGGAGGCTGGGAAGCGCACGGGTCAGAGCCACCTGAGGAGGCTAAGTACCAGAAACGTTTCTAACATCCGGACTGCTTAAGGGGATACCAAGGGTGTCCTAGAGACTCGCAAACAGTTTCTGAAAACAGGGTGGTTGAACAGATGAACACAAAGAGCTACAGTGGGAGGACTTTGAGGGCTTTGCCGAATGTGGTTGGTGCACCACGACGCAAAGGCTGCGAGTACCCTAACCCCCGATGCCTGGCTTCACCATGCTCCACCACTAGGTTCTGAAGCCCGAAAGGAGATCTACATCGAACACATGCCCAGACAGCGTCCAGAACTAAGTCACAAATCCAAAGGGCCAAGTAACACTTGCACCGCAGCAGCCGTGCTGATCACTGGTCGTAAAAAATCACAAAGGTTGTAACAACGACGTGCACCAAAGAAAACGGGACCTTCTCTTTCCTTGGGTTCGTGCTTTTTCGGAGTTGTGGGATCCCATCTTCCCTGCGACATCCGAAAGCTTTGCCTGCCGCCAAGGGGCGACATGCAAAGGCAGTCCTTTCAAAGCGAGGAGAAGGATTCAAAACGGCGAGCCCGACATTCCCAAAGCCTAAAACGTTGCAAGTGCTCTCATATTGTAGGGAATAAGGTCGGATTCCCGGCTTGCAGTTTGAGGTTTGCTGTCTGCGGTTCGACAATTCTGTCGAAGATTGCTGGATTTTGGGTTGAGGTGTGGGGTTTTGGAGCCTAGCGGTTCTGCAGGCGGGAGGGCAACAAGGATCACACCACGTTACGGCTGTGTGGACGAGGTATTCTATGCTCTGAGTCCCCCAGCCTACACTAGCTAACCTTCTAAGTGTGTCTAGGTGCGGAAAGGATGCTGCAACAAATCAGTCTACACACTACACCTCAACATGATCTCTACCTGCTCAACTACTAATAACACTTACTGACAATTACTCAGAGGATGAGTGCCCAAATATGGAGTTGCAAACACTTCAATACGGCTGCAAGTACACACAACTAACCACAATAGAAACCAAACCACTACTTCCTCGATGCGTGCTCGGCAGAGGCCATTGCGCTTCAAAACTAGAATGTCCACATGCGTATTCTAGGACTACTGGTCATGCTGGTTGATACTGAACTTGATCGTGGAAGGGTCAAAGGCCTTGCAAGGCAGAACAGTGCAACGATGCGAGCAAGACGCCAGCCACATCTGTGGACGTGCCGCAGCAGTTGGGTATAATACCTGGGCATCGCAATTGACAAACTTGCTCCATGCCGTACCCTGCATGAGTTTCTACTGGTAGTTGGGGAATTGCAATGCGACGATTTCCATTGATTTAACACATCGTGTCTTCTCTACTTGCACTAGGGAAGCACAAGATAAAACACAAAAGTTAAACTCTAGCTTTCAGTGCAAGGCTTCAGTCCTTTAGGGTTCCTGATATGAACGTCGCGCAGGAAGATCCTTCTCATGTAGACGTATGATGAGAAATAGCCTTCTGATTGCCAGGACTATGATGCCATATTTTGCTTATGGTTAGTGCTAGGGTACCAAGACAACCCTCACTGCAAACAGCCATGCATCCCTTGCCACTTCCTGCATAAATCTACAGTTGAAAAGCTTGTCCGATTACAAACCCCAAACCCCGTTCCAATAAACCATAAACCCTAAACTTCCCAAACCCCTGAACCCCATTCCCATGGAGCCCCCATACCCCTATACCCCAAAAGTCCTATTCCAATACAAACCCTCAACCCCTAAACCCCAAAAGCCCGATTCCAATAAACCCTATGACCCCAAACCCTAAACCCTACCTATAGTCTGCATTGCAGTTCCTTTTTGGGGTTACCTTTTAGGATCCTTTATACAAAATTGCTTAAACCAAAAAAGGGTACTACAATGGAGACTATAGGTAAACCCTAAACCCCAAAAACCCGATTCCAATAAACCCTATGACCCCAAACCCTAAACCCTGGACACTAAACCCTAAACACCAAACCCCAGACCCTAAACCCTAAACCCTAGACCCTGCGTTAGCCAAGGAGCGCTGCAGGGTTGGATCCTCCGGTCCCAAGATCAGGAGGCCCATCTGCAACATGACCTCGGCGGCTTCCGGGTTGCGGATGGGAAAGATGCCTTTAGGGAGTTTAGGGTTTAGGGGTTTTGAGGTTTAGGGGTTTAGGGGTTTAGGGTTTAGGGGTTTAGGGGTTCGTGGTTTAGGGTTTAGGGGTTTAGTGTTTAGGGGGGGCGGGGATTCTTTCACAGCCGGAAAAGGCTCCTCATGCTCATTTTCCCGCTGGGGGGTTCTTTTTTTTCGGGCCCTGTCTAGAGGCACAATGTGACTCGATGTCGAATGTTCCACGGGGTGCCGTTCACCAATCTAGACCAATGTAGACCCACCCACAGTAGCAACGTAAAGCACGAGGATCACAACAATCGTCGTCACCAGCATCTGTGACGTTGATGATGCTTGCATGCGCCCACATATGGAACTAAACACACGCATGCTGCACAGACAAGCAGAGAGATTGGCAGCAAGCCTAATGTTTTTTAAATTGCATGACAAATCGAGGTTGGATGCCAGTCCAACACAAGGATCGAAGCTCTTAAGGATGCACAGCGTTGTATTTCGAGCAGAATATACATAAACATAGGAAGCCTGCAGCTATTCATAAACCTTAAGCCTTAAACTTAAATCCTAGAAGCCGAAACCCGACAACTCCTCAAGCCGCAAGCTCACCTGAATCCTTTTACGCAGTGCCTTGAGCTGAGCGCCCTAAGCCCTCAACCCCCATGTGACTCCTAAAAGCGCTTGTGAACATGGACCTGGTGCCCAACCCTAAACCCCTAAACCCTAAACCCTAAACCCTAACCCCTAAACTCTAAAGCCCTAAACCCTAAAAGCCCTAAAAGCCCGGGTTCGGGATCTCAGCATCCCACGAAGTAGGCCATTCCATGATCCGAGATGTGGGTCACTCCTGGGACGTTGCCGGGTTCCCCCCGGGGTTTAGGGTTTAGGGGTTAAGGGTTTAGGGTTTTAGGGCTTAGGGTTTAGTGCCGCCCCCCCAACCCCACCCCTCTTCAAAACAAGACCGAGCTCTGCAAGCATGCAATCGGACATGCCCTTTTGAATCCGAGCAACTCGGAAACGTCGGAGAGCAGAGCTGGGAAGGGCCCGAAAAATTAGAGGCTCTTCGGGTTTAGGAGGTTCCGTGCTGCAGGGTTTATGGGGCTTCCGGGTTTAGGGTTGTAGGGGTGTTGCGTCTTTAGGATCTAGTGGGTTAAGGGTCTCGGGGTTTAGGGATCGATGGAGTAGGCTTTCGGGAACACGACGGGGAGACTCTCATTAATAGTTCAGAGCCCGAAATTCCGATGCAGCCAAGCAGTGGTTCCGAGCTTGTAGGGTTTACGGCGTAGGTTCGGGCCAAGGTGCGATAGGTGGCATCGCTGCATACTGGACCCTCCAGTGAGGTTCCCACCCGATGTTGATCGCAGTAGTGATAGATGCCGCAGATCACCGCCTGCTTGTCAGCCCCAGCACGAAAATCATAAACACCAGATTAGGGTTCAGGGTTTAGGGTTTAGGGTTTAGGGGTTTAAGACTATTCCTTAATAAAGTTCAGACCTTCCCCTATCCGAATGGACCACCGAAGCCCCGATGTCTCTAGGAGACTCGACACTCCGAAGCGAAACTGTGGGGCCACAACAAAGCTGGGCCACGCTTCTTCGAGACCCAAAAGCCGACTTGGCGCTTCTGAAGGCTTTCAGGGGGTTTCCTTAGGGTGTAGGGTTTAGGGTTTATAGGGTTTAGGGTTTAGGGTTTAAGGTTTAGGGTTCGGACATTCGGGTGTCACGACGCTTCTAGGATCATTGAAAGTTTTTGGAGACTGGGAAAGTGCGCCTCAGAGTTACCGATGTCAACCTTCCCCCAAAGCCGAAAGCCCGAAAGCGCTGCGAGACTACAGTTGATAACATAAATCCTGCATTACCTTAAGCACTCACCCTAAACTATGGGAATTATATGGTATATTCCTTATTATGGGTAATGCTAAGGATTTATATCATCAACCGTAGGGCACTTCAGGGTTTCCAAATCCCTGGGCCTGCACGGCAAACAAGAAACCTGAGAGGCGATGGGAGAGTGGATCGTTGGTTTCGGGCTTTTCGGGGAATGGCGTCTAGGGACTTAGGATCTCGAGTTCTCGGCTTAGGATGTCTGGCTGTTGGTTCATGGTGCAGTGTGGGGGAACATGCAGTTCCAAACGTGCATGCTGTGTGGATTTCTCAAAAACTGGTGTCGGTTTTTGGGGCGGGTTGAAGGCCGGTAGCTGGGTTCTTCGGGTGAGGCCTGATAGGTTCCCAAGCACTCCAAAACCCCTTCCATTCCGGAATATTCCCTTCCATTATGCGCGGGTCCCTTGCCAAAGGGCCAACTCAACCTAGGGGAACTAAACGGGGGTACTATGACAGCTACCTCAACTTACAAGGGAACTAAACCCTAAAACCCCAAGCAAACAAAGGGTGTTCTATCTTAAGCCATTACTGCGATGGACTTGTGCGGCAATTTGAATTTGCTGGGGCGCCCGGGCTAAGACCCGCTGCGGGTACAGGGAGCCGTTGGATTCGAAAGCCGGAAGACAGCTTTTTTTGGGGGGTTTAGGGTTTAGGGGTGTAGGGTTAAGAGTTTAGGGTCTATAGGGTTTATGGTTTAGAGGTCCAGGGCTGAGGACATTTTGGGTTGCGGGGCTTTTGGACTCATCGGTCTAGGGTTCGGCTTGAGGCTTGGGGTCTGGGTGTGCTTCTTTTTGAATCCGGGTTCTTGGAAGTCCCATTGTGCCTGACTCTTCGAGTCCGATGCGCTTGGCGCCGAGAGTTTCAAACGTGGCAGACGAACTGGGCATGGGTTAGCCATGGCCCTCCAAGGAAAGACACGGAGGCGAATCATGAATCCTTACAAACATGCAACGTGCGTCTCGTAGCGGTGCTCCTTTTTGGGTGAATCCCCAACCCTTGGATTATAAAGAAGATGGTAATTCTGACCACGATCCTTCTGCAGCGTCCTCAGCGTGAAGCAGGTACCTTGCTCTATATCCCGAACGCTTTCACGGCCCCACCAACGAAGACTGCCACGTAAACCCATGGGAACCTGTGTCTACAATCACCCCTGTATGGCTAAAATCATGGGGCGGCTTCCGGTACGATTCAGGAAGAGAGCGACAGTAGCACTTAGTAGGCCACGGAGACCACTTTAGTGCTGATACACTCGGCTGTCATGTTGCTACCTGTAGACATTCTGATTCAGTGGTACGTAATTGTTTTGCATTAAGTGATCCATTCTCCTCCAGGTCTTTGATTGTGCATTTGCTGGTCTACAAGCATGGCTTTGACGGCCACACACTGGCGCAAACGGCCTGCTCCCATTCGGGACAAATCCGCGCAAAGAATTCAGAACGCTGGAGCTACTTGTCACCCCGCATGCGTAATTAAAAGGCTTAAGCGGCCGAAACGACGTGGGAGTCTCTCAAAATTCGGGGTCTCATTAGGATCTTCCGTTGGGTCCCCTCGGTTTCGGAGACTCCCACATGAAGCCATGCCAAAGAAACCGAACGGAGGCCGAAAGGGAGTGCAACGCAGTCTCCTCAAATATCGAAGCCCCCCAAAACTCAAAACCCCAAAATCCCGCGTCCAGGCGGGTCCTGAAGCTGGCTCACCTTGGCATGTGCAGTTCATGGGCTAAAACAGAAGGACCTACTGCAGGAGACTATGCAGGTCATTAAACCTCCAAAAAGGTTCCATCATTTTCACATTCTTTAAAGTTATAATATAGTGGCTGTGAAACAACTCGACACAATTTGCAAACTCAACTCCTGAGTCACCTCTCACTGTTTTGGCTCGTTCGTCGGCCGGCAGAGGATTTTGGCTTCTCCTTGTCCTTCTCTTGTGACTCAACACTTTGCAAGACCTCGGAGGATTTCAGAGAGGGGATGCCAAGGTAAGCTGCAATGCGGCAAGATCCTAAGCCTTCCGGGGTGTTTTTAGGCTTAGGGTTTGAGGGTTGAGGGTTTAGGGTTTAGGGTTTTGGGTTTAGCCAAACCCTAAACCCTAAACCCCAAACCCTAAACCCCAAACCCTAAACCCTAAACCCCCAAGGGGGGTTGGGCAATCCTTATTGTAGTACGCTTATAGAAACCCCGTATAGGTCCCTCTAAAGGAACCCTAAAAGGGGACTAGGACTACCGAGGTGGAGAGGTCTCCTGAATGCCCCACCTTCTCCAATCCCGACTCGACGCGGCTCACGTTCTCGCCTTGGCTGCCCGGACTCATCAGCCAATGCATTGAGATTGTGGTGGCTTTAGGGGTTTAGGGGGTTTAAGGGGTTTAGGGGTTGTAGGGGTTTAGGGCTTTAGGGTTTTAGGGTTTTAGGTGGCTTCAAGGGAGGATACGAACAAAGATGCTTCAAGTGTACAAGCTCTGCTAATTACGAATACTCCTGAGTTGCGGACCTGAAAAAGAACGGCAATTGTAAGGGCTTCTGAGACTAATACCGTGTGGATATCATAAAGAGTTTCAACTTCAAACCTATGCTGTGCAAAATTGAAATCCGCCTTAAACTAGATCTCAAGCCCAGACTCAGCCGCTTAGCTGGAAAGTAGAGCAAGAAGGAACCTCTACCAGCTATGTCTGCCTTATGTTTCCCTTACGGGCCGATTGCAACAGGACTGGATGGAAATTCAACAACAAACTAAAACTCGAAGCTGAAAGCCGCAACAAACGACACCCAAACCCCAAGCCCTGAAATTGACCCGAAAGTCCCCCGGCACCCACATGCCAAACTGAGTCGCTGAGTGAGTTGGTCCACTCGCCGACCTTCTCCTGGGCTCTTGTCAAGGGATGTAAATTAAGTTACCATAATAAGGAAACCATATTATTTACCATGGATCCCTGTTATGGTAACTTAAATCAAACCCTAAACCCCAAACCCTAAATACTAAACCCTAACCCCTTACCCCTAAACCCTAAACCCCTAAACCCTAAACCCCTAAACCCTAAAGTCCTTAACAAGAGCCCAGTCTCCTGCAGAGATGCGGCAGAGGCGGACTGCGCGTCCTTCAGCGCGGTGAGCTCTTCCCTCAAGAGCTCCCCCAGGTGCCTCGGGTCTTTTAAACACCACGGTTTAGAGTTTAGGGGTGTAGGGGTTTAGAGTTTAGGGTTTGAGGGTTTGGGGGTTTAGTATAGGGGTTAGGGTTTAGGGGTTTAGGGTTTAGGGTTTAGGGCAAAGGATCTAGGCAACGGAAGACTTCAAGAGTTTCAAGCGGCTATCCTACCCCAAGTTGCCTTAGGCTCCACGATCCCAGCCGCAACCGAGACCCGACACAGGTCTCCTAAAAAGCTACATGTGGCTCACCCTTGCGCAAAGGACTCCACTCTTGGGCTTCCTTGAAGAGTCTTAGGTGGCATCCGAGGCTTTACCGGAGACCCTACACCAGACTTTAAACTCGAAGCCCGAAGCCCTAAAGCTTGAACTTTTTAAACCCCTAAACCCTATAAGCCCTAAGGGTTTAGGGTTTAGGGTTTAGGTTAAACCCTGAAGCTCTAGGCGTCTGATTCCTAGAAGGGCCAGGGTGCGTGTGGCTTTCCTGCCCGTTCTCTCGCTGCTGCGTGGCAAGTGCCAGAGTCACAGCCTCCAACTCCCTCTTGATGGTCTCCTGTAGGGGTCTAATTGGATTGGATGGGTGGGAAAGATGGGAGTAGCGACGATCACGGCAAATATCATGCTTAGGAGTGGGGTTGCTAGGAGTCGGGTGGCTTCCTATTGGGAGAAGAGGCGCCGTTCGAAAAAACAACGGACTCAATGGGGCATCTCCCCTTAGTTGTTGAATCCTTGGGTCCCTCTCAGTGGGAACTCTCGAGTAGGGACTTTAATGCAGAACAGAAGAAGGCCCACATGAGATTTGGATATTTGCTGTCATTCCCTTCGAGCACCAGTACAGGAGCCGGTACCAGTACGACTACGACGCAGACGGCGACGACGACTACTACTGACAAGGAAGGTGATTTCACGATGACAGGGCCAAAAACAGGAACATGTAAGAACGAGATGCATACTCCAAGCACTATCAGTATACTGCCGTCGGTGTTCACGTTGACAACAACTTTCAACATACGAAAGAGCTTCGTAACACAACCATTCCGGGGAAATCCTGGGACAAGCCCCTGCTTGTTTTACAAGCGCCCTTCGCCCTCTCCTCCACGTCCAAAGCTGCGGGGGCATTCGCCTGGCTCAGTTTCCCCAAAGGGTCCATGCACACAGCTACAGCACAGGTAGGCACCGAAGGAACCGCGTGCAAGAGCTCAAAGTCTGTAGGCGTAAGCGCATGATGTGAAGACGCCCGGAACCTCGGGATGAACAGCAAAACCCCGGTTTGGAAGCGTAGCAGTGCTTCAGTACCTCTGTAACACAGAGCCTGCGTTGTTGGGTCTGTCGAGCTCTGGAAATCTGACTGACCCCATGGAAAAGGAGCAGCCCAGGACCCCGCGAAAGGGTCGAAGCCAAGGAGCCCCTCAAGGAGATCTCCGACGATTATATGGGGTCAGATGATGTGCCCACAGAGCCCAATACCCCTTGATTAAGGAATATACCTTGCATTATAATATTAAGGCCCCTAAAATCTAAGGTATTGTCCTTATTGAAGGGGTATTGGGCTCTCTGGGTGCTTTAGATTCTTGAAGGGGCCTAGGAAAGGTCTCATTCTGAAACTTTGCTCCAGCTGGCGGAAGAGCTCAAGTGATACTTGGGAATTTCAGGAAACAAGGGACGCTGCTAATATAGAACCCCGAAGTAGTTGATTCATGTTGGTTCCATAACGCACGCACGCTTAAAGCGTACCTGAACACCAACCCTTCACTAGAGTCTCCCAGAACTAAGGGCGCTTGAGCTTGCGCTGGGAACTTCCATTGAATAGTTTAGCTCTCGGGGGAAACAAGAAATGCAAAAACGTCTCATCAAGGAGTATACGTTAAACTTGACATGGATACAGAGTATGCTTCAGTGCTGCAAATATCTTCTTTGAGGTATTGAAGACTTTTTTGACGATTCCTGAGCCCTTCAAGCTAGATTTCTCTGCTCAAGGACTGTTGGATTTTGAATGGCTTTTTTCAAGTTAATGAATAGCTTTCGACTCTCCAGTAGCTCAAGTTTGAAGTCACTTTCTTGTAAAGCCTGTCAAGTAACCTGGTACTCTACTGTTCGATCATCCCCTGTTGCTAACTAGGTCTAGATGACCCAACTTTTCTTAGGAAAAGGCCGGCCCGGCGAACATAGTCCTATTAGAGGATCTTAGAGTCTTTACGGCTTCCTAAACCCTAAACCCTAAATAGCCTAAACCCTTAGCCCCTGCCTGGCTCAGCTCCAAGCGCTCGGCGCTGGCCTCGAGACGAGTCGCCATGCTGGAAACCAGATCCTTTGGGGCTTGGGGTTTTAGGGTTTCGGGATTTAGGAGTTTTGGGATTTTGGGGTTCGGTATTGGGGATTATGAGTTTAAGGATTTTGGGGTTTAGGGTTTACGGCTTCGGGTTTTGGGGATATGGGGTTTAGGGGTTTAGATCCTTTGGGCTTAGGGTTTGTAGGGCTTCGGGTTTCGGGGATTAGGAGATTAGGGACTTTCAGGTTTAGGGTTTAGGGGTTTCGGGGATTAGGAGTTCAGGGATTCAGGGGTTTAGGGTTAGGGTTTCGGGGATTAGTGGTTTATGGGATTAGTTGTTTAGGGAAGCTTAGGCTTTATGGAAACCAGATCCTTCGGCAGAGAAGTTGCTGAAGGGCCTTTGGGGGCTACGGCTCAGCAGGGAGGGTCTTAAGCGGCGTTTGGGGGGGGCCTAGGGTTCTGAGGGTGTTTTGAAGGATATTCGGTCCTTTCATTTGTGGTAGGCTCCAATATTCAAACGAGGTTGAGTTTGGGGGTTTGGGTCCTCCAGAGTCATCGGATTTGAATCTGAGTGAGGTTTTGGTGTAGGTCTGCATTCGTTGTTGGTTCAGATGCGTGAGGGCCGTTTTGGGGATTCGGTGCAGGTCCGGTTAGACTTACGGCTCAGGTTCAGGGTCCATCTTTCGGTTTAAGCGCGTTTAGGCTTAGGGTTTAGCATCAAGGTTTGATTCGAGGTGACATTTTGTATTGACATTCTCGAAGCACGCTGAAACGATGGGCGCAGCAGACGATTACAATCAAGCTGGTCGCACTTATCGCCACTTCGAACCGGACGTGAAGCACTTCTGACCCCCTTCCTGTTACTAGCCATGAACCCCAAGTAGGGAACCATGACGAACCCTATCGAACTATCGAACCCTGCATGTGCCCCGAAAGCCTAACTACGGTTTATGATGTAAATCCTGCATTACCCATAATGAGGAATATACCATAATTCCCGTAGTTTAGGGTCCTTAAAGTCATGCAGGATGTATATCATCAACAATACGACTGCAGAAATCCTGATAAAAATCCCTGCAGTGGGTCCTTCAGATTCAGGCCCTGGTCGTCTGCGCTCCCTTCGCCCAGGAGGGACTCTTTCAGCTTTCCTGGGCTTTTCTTCTATGGGACGGATTAGGGTTTAGGGGTTTAGGTTTAGGGTTTGGGACTCTAGGCAACCCCTCAAGCGTAGAGGTACCATTTCGGAGGAATTCCGCGACATAGAGGTGAGGGGCCTTGAGAGCTGGAGAAGGCTTTCCAGATAGAGCAGGTTGCGGCCTCAGCCAGCTGTGTAAGTCTTGGAGTTGATCTAGCTCCTCTTCGGAAGAAGCACGGGCAGCAGTCCATCCCTGAGTAAGCCGGCTGCTTCTATTCATTCATTGTGCCTTGCAGTTTGCGGCCCATGCGCACCTTCTTGGCTTTGAATGACAAGAGTACAGTTGAAGCACTAATGTAGAACCCTCCTCCCTCTGAGGGCCATCGTTCTAGGATCCATCTTGCAAGTCTTGTCACGGGCAGAGCATCCAAAAGCATCGGGATCTACGTTACTGCGAAATGCCGGAATCCCAAGTCGTTCTTCAATCATGGAGCCCTTGATCCCTAAACCCTAAACCCCAAACCCTGATCCTCCCCAACGCCTGAACTCAAGGTGACGTACAGTACATGCGAAGATCTGGCTGGCACCTCAGAATGTATAGCCCCGAACTTAAGCCACTCTAAATGGCCAAACTCTCCAGTTTAGCAGGCTTAGAAGGGCCCCTAAACCCCAAACCAGACACCCAAAAACGCTTCAAACCCTAAACCCTATAACCCTATAACCCTAAACCCTACTGCAGGTTGCTTGCGACCCAACTTCTGGGGCCCTAACCAAGGCCCTCCAGGCCTAGAGCTCTGAAAGTTGGGGCGGAAACCCCAAAGCGCTCAAACCCCTGCGGCCCTAACAGCCTAATGTAGGGGCCTTAATCTTTAGAGTAGGGTTTCGGGGTCTCTGAGAGTATAATTATAATAAGGAACCCTGAGGAGAAACATGGGGTAGTCATTTAGTAGCCCCTCAAGCCCTGAAGCGTAGCTCCCTACAATACTTGTAGCATCCTAAAAGCCCTATCTCAAGCTTTGACACAAGGACACTAAAGCCCTCAGCCCCTCAAAAACATAGGATCCTGACTCCTAGAGCCCTAAACCAAAACAGAGTATCCAACCGACTCGCCCTGAACCTAACACTCCGAGTATCGGGTTTAGCAGGTGATCGTAAGGGCTTAGCCGCCAAAAAGCAACGGCCTGATACCCTCCTTGTTTTGTGGACTCTTACACAGGCCTTGACCTCCTTCAGCTTCTCTAAAACACCATCGACCTGACAGTTCCTGAACGGCTACTCCCAATTTTTTTTGGAAATCCTCCAAGGCGAGCTTCATACAAGAACCCTATAAAGACAGTCGCATCCTTGATGCCAGGACCGAAAAAACAAGGGAAGCCTAACATTCAGATGGGTCTTCCGCCCAGACGCCCATCTGCCGAAAGAGCACCTCTCGCACGGAAGTCTCCAGCTGTGCTGCCGGATCGCGCCTCATTCTGGCTGCCACATGAATGCACAGCACAGCAGGGCCCTCAACGAAGACACCCTAGACATTCCGTTTTTCTGATCTCGTCTTTTTGTTTATCAGAACTTGCGGGCGTCAGGGCGTTACATGGTCCTAGGCTTCCCGACTTTGGCTCGACAGTCGAGGGTTGTGGGTTGAAGGCTTCGGGATCGGGTTCTGCGCCGCACCCGGGTTCCCTACTTCAGGGTTCAGGAACTACAAAAAACCGTAAACCCTAAACCCAAAACCCTAAACCTTAAAGAAGCTAAACAAACATGCTGCAGCTGACCCTCCTTTGCGCCCTCAAAGGCAGAGGCGGCCGAACGTCTTGAAGCCCCAAAAGAGCTCTTCAAAAAAGAAGCCTTCAGCTCCCAAATGGGACTTTCCGAAAAATTGAAAAATTAGGGTACCCTATTTTGGGGTCCTTACAATAAGAATCCTACTATTTGGACCCAGGTATATCCCTAAACCCTAAACCCTAAACCCTATCTTCGGAAGCTCCCAAAATCGCAGCAAAGCCACAAGAGCTCCGCCCGGGTGAAGTTCTGAATGCACTCTAGGCCTGTTTAGGGTTTAGGGTTTAGGGTTTTTTATTTTGGGTTTAGGGTTATAGGGTTTAGGGTTTAGGGTTCAGGGTTTAGGATTACGGTTTAGGGTTTAGGGTTTAGG